CTGCCTGAAACTGTGTTACTGCCTATGAAATGGTATCTGGCTCTGAAGGGCCCAATGCCAGTCCTACCTACTCTGGAAAGACCTCCCTGGCTGTCCTAGTCCACACTGTGCTTCATTCCTTGTGGGCTTCTTTGGCTCCAAAGCTCTGAGCTCCTCCTTAGTGTTCACTGCTGCAAATTTACCCAGCTGCTTTGAAGATCTGGCTCCACACAGGACACTTGACAGGCTCAGATCTTTGCAATAAATCTGTGGTGTCATATTGTGAAACCCCATTTGACTTGTGAGACAGTGCTCTGAGAGGTTATGTGAATTGTCTGAGGTCCCCTGGGTGCCACGTGGTGGAGCCAGGCTTGGAACTGGCCTCTGTGTAATTGCTGCTACCCCAGGCCCAGGGTAGGGTGTTAATTATAAGCAGCAGCAGCACAAGGCTGGGCACTTTACCTGTATTTACTCATTTACTCCTCAAAATAATCCTATAGGGTATATTCTTGTCACTTTACAGATGAGGAAACTGAGGCTAAGCAGCTAAAATAATTTACCCTGCAGTAGAACTAGGACAGGAATCTAGACTATCAGGGTTAGGTCGCCAAGTATATTGGGATCACCCCAGTCATGCTCCAGAAATACATACAGAGCGTTTCCTATGTCATAGGCCTGTGTGAAGTGATCCATGGTGGGGTGGGGGTGGAAACAGACAGAAGTGGGGTACAGACACATATAAGCCAGCTCTAGCAAGCCCAAACAGGAGTGTGCCTATGAGGAGAAGCCAGTTGCTGGGACAAGAGTCCAGAAGGGGTAGAGCTGGAATCTGACAGTGGGATGGAGGAGGGTGGGGGGAGGGAATCGCATAATTTTCCCAAAGGAGGTACATTTCCAGGAAGCTCAGGAGGGGCAAAAGGGTCCTCCCTCCCCTTCCTGTTTTCCCCCCCAGGAAGTACCCCCACCTGGCCCAGCCCCAGGAAGTAGGTGACCCCTGAGCTGGCTGCATGCCTGGTTAGCACCAAAATAAACTTGCCTTCTCTCTCTTCCCCTCCCCTCGCCTCTGTCCCCTCTGTCCTGGCTTTAATTAGCAGCCCTGTGGATGAGTCACTTGGCAGCTGGGGAGGGAGGCTGCACAGAGCCCAGTCAAGCCTCGACTCCTGCCCTGAGCCTTGCGGGCAGCACCACTGTGTTCGTGCATGTGGATGCCCTCCCACGTGATGGCTGGCTCCGTGTCCGTGCAGGTGTGAGGAGCACAGGGGTAGGGCATGCATGCTGGCACACATCCGCACATGTCAGGGTGTCTGCATAGAGGCATATCTGGTCACTTCTCCTTTGTTTCTGCATGCCACTGAATGTCAGTGTGTGTGAGTCTGTGTCTGTGGTAGCAACTGTCAGGAAATGAGGGAGCATTTGGGTGGATAAACACAAACACTTTATAATTGCATTCACCCCTCCCTACATAATGTTCTTTATGCATTTTTACTTATGCAAGCCCTGCACTTATGTCCCCCATTTTCCCTTGTCTTAGTCTGGGTACAGTTTATTGCAGGGAACAGAAACCCACTCAAACTCACTCAAGAATAAAGGTGGGGGGGACCATTGTGAGGCTACATCTCAGAGAATCAAAGAACAGTAAACCAAGTAGAGCAGGCCTCATGCCAACTGTAAGTGGGACTTCTCTCATGGCTTGCCTGGTCCCTGTCATCTCTTTGTCCCTGACTCCTCTCTCTGAACTGGCTTTCTTGGCTTTCATATGGCCTGACATGGCCACCAACCTGGAACCTACATAACCTTCTGGTTTCAGGGTCCAACCCATATTACGTCAGTGTTTCTGTCCAGACTTCAATAACGTCAGGCAGCAAGGAGCTGTGGGGGAGCCAGTTCTCTTAGAAGTGGGAGAGGGTAAAGAAGGCAGATACTTGGTATTTGGTGTCTTTTACAATGAGCACAAGTTTTTTGTGTCCACAGTGAGGTCAGAGCTTGGGGGAGCAGTCTGCTCACGACTGTAAGGGTTATCCATCCATCAAGATTTTGGCTCCTAATCTAATGCACGTCTACCTTTGCTCACTATGCTTTCAAGTTTCATGCTTGCATCAAAACACCCTGCTTTATCTAAAAATTTCCCCTTATTTTATGCCAAAACAGCTTTTAGGTACACAGTGAATATTACCATTGCTACCAGTGTGCAGTGATTTTTGTAGCCTGAGAACAACTGGCATAATGTTACTCATGGCACAGCTGCTACCAAGTTCTTGGTTGCCTCAGGAATTTTCACATTTTATTAGTGTAGTGACTGGATTTATAGTTATCTGCAGTATATAATTATAAGCATACATTATCAATATTATCAGCTTGATGCTTGAGCTTACTTTTCCATTAATACAAACTCTGCAGTTGTTACACTAATTACAGAGGGAATTAATGACCCCTTAGACAAGTTTTCACCTATGAGTAAAGAGTTTGGAATCAGCTGTGCCCATAATGACTGTTGTCCAGATGCAGGGGCAGTGCCCATGGCTCTGACACTGGCTGTGGCCTTGCATCTCTGGCTGAGACTGGAGGCTGCCCACCACCTCCTTGGGGGCCTCCTGTTTCTGGACTGACATGTGGCAGGTGCTGTTGCTATTTTGAATTAAAAAAATAGCTTTCTGATTAATGTTAAAGCCACCTTCCACATGGAAATGGTAAACCTGAGTGGAGGAGATCCTCCCAGGCTCAGGGCAGAGTCTCCTTCAACTCCTCTCCCCTCCTCCCTTTTGTTATTATTCCAAATACTAATAATTGCTTTCATCCAGAAAATGTCTACTATTCATCAGGTACTGTTAGGGAGCTCTAAGCACACATTATCTTTAAGCCTCCTGGCCATCCTGCCAAGTAGGGGTGATTCTATCCACTTTAAAGATGGGGAAACTGAAACTTGGAGAGGTAAAGTCATCCATCCACCCAAGGTCATCCATCCATCCACCCACCCATTCATTCATTTATTCATTCATTTAACTCAAGGATGATTTATTGACTGCCTACCTACAATGTGTCAGGTACTGGGCTAAATTAAATGCAGTTGATACAATGATGAATAACAGAGTCCTGCTCAGAGGAAACTCACTGTCTGGTAGGGATACAGATGAGGAAACAGACCATTATAGACAATTACAGGGAAGTGTGGGAAGCACCTTGGAAGTATTCCCAACTCAGCTTGAGGGTCAGGGAGGCTTCTCCAAGTGGATATGTGAGCTGAGACTTGGAAGGTGAGTAGAAGTTGGCCAGGTGAGGAGTGGGGACAGGTGAGGTGAAGTGGAGAGTGTCTCAGGCAGAGCAAAAATGTGTTCCAGAGCTGTGGAAGGCGTGTGTGGCAGCTGTTTCCATTTGTGAAGAACTAAAGCGGTAGCTGCAGTGGGATGGGACTGTGTGGAGAAGGAGTCTGGGAAGGGAGCTGAAAGTGAATTGAGAGGCTGGAACTGGGACGTTGGTCTGTTAGGCCCAGGGCTGAGGAGCTGCAGGACCCAGGAGCAGAGTTTCTACACTTCCACATGTGCCAGGTCCCAGACCCAGCCTGGCCAGCATCAGTCCACCTGGACAGCGTCAGGCCAGGATTCCACTGGCTGCAGTGCCCTCTAGTGTCCATGAGCCCACCTTGCAGCCTCCACCTCAGCGAGAATTGTCAGTCTCCCCCAACACTTAATGACCTGTGTGGATGATGGAGACACTGGGATGAATAAGACACAGCTCCTGTCCTCCCAGAGCTCCTGGCCCAGAAGGGGCAACAGCATGTGAACAGACAGTGCTGATACAAGCACAGGGTAAGAAGGAGACAGGGGAGGGATCAGGGCAGGTTCCCAGAGGGCACAACCTCTGAGCTGACTTGTGAAGGACAAGAGCTAGTGAGGTGTGTGTGTGTGTGTGTGTGTGTGTGTGTGGCAGTGGTGGTGAGGGAGCGGGGACGGGCCTTTTGAGCAGAGGGGCAGCACAAAGAGGAGGAGGCATGGAGAGCAGCAGAGAGTGGTTGAGAATTGCAAGCAGTTCTGTCTGGGTGCAGCACCAGTTGAAGATGTGGGGAAGATGGAGACTAACTGGAGGTGGGGGGTAGGGGCCAGTCATAGAAGGTTCTAGGATGCCTGCCACTGGCTCCTGGTAGGCACTTAGTGAATAGAATCATATACAGAGCTTCCTTGCCCTTTTGGGATCACAAACCTTTCTGAGCATCTGAGGAAAGCTATGCTCTCCCCAGAGCCATGTTGTTACTCACTAATATCTTTCATACGACTTCAGGAGCTTTAGAGGCACTCCCCCCATACCTGTCCATGAACTGCAGGCTGCCAAACTGCTCTTTGTATAAATACTGAAACTTTATCATGGTCTCCGAAGCTCTGCATGATCAGGCCCCTGCCTACATCTCTAGTCTTGCCTCTCTCCCCTTTGCTTTTTCCAGTCAGCCACGCTGGCCTCTTTGCAGTTCCTGAAAGTACTACCTCAGGTCCTTTGTCCAAGTGACTTCCTCTGCCTGGAACATGCTCTGCTGCTACCTCCACTTTTTGCCCAGCTTAATTCCCTTAGTTGTTGAATGTCTGTCTCCTTTCATTTCGATATAAGCTCCATGAGATCAGGACATTGACTAATAGCTTATATCAAAGCTATATCTGGCCCCCAGCCCACTGCCTGGTCCACAAGATTTGTTTTATAAGTGAATGAAGGCCTCACCAGTGCCGCATGGCTCGATGCAGCTCCTCACCCTTAATTCCTTCTTCCCTCAGCCCCTAGTGGGCATTACATGAGTCTACCCAACATGCTCAGATATGTCTGAATGCCAAGAGTGGCCATGATTAGGAGGGATTTTTCTAGAAATCTTCCCTTCTCTGAAACAAGCAGGCTTCCCATGGGTCTGCCCCACCCCCTTGAGAGAAGGGTCAGACTCTCAAGCTCAGGCTGAGACTCTTCATCCTGTACACATTTGTCTCACCGAATCTTCACAAGAATCCATGAGGTAGGAATTGCCATTGGTCTTTTACAGATAAGCAAACTGAACCTCAGAGTGGGTACCCAGCTAATACGTGGTAGAGCTGGGACTCGTCTACCAGGCACCAAAGTGTAGCCTCTTTGCCTCCTCAGAGTGGAGAAGAGGCTTGCCCCAGGTCACACAGCATCAGCCATAGGGCCAAACTGCAAATGGGCACAAAGCAGGAGCTAGAGTTGCTGAAGGAGAGAGAAAAAAGCAGGGGCTGAGGCCAGAGCCCTGAGGCCCAGGGGGCTTTAGGGGGTAGGCCAAGGGAGAGGAGGCCTCAAAGGGCCCACAGATGCCAACTTTGCCTGTCTCTCTAGGCAGCTTGGCTTTCTTGAGAGGAACCAGCTGCCCCAGCAGGGAGGCAGGAAGGCAAGAAGGCTGGCCTGTTGCCTGTCAGCTCCTATTCCTTCTAGGTCACTAGCCCCCTAGCCCCTTCCAGGGCCACCTTCTGCTCAGAACAGCCAGGGGCCTGGGCTCTGAGGCCACAAAAGGACAGGAGCGCTCTGAGCTGGATCTGTGGTACTCCTCAGGGGCCCTGCATCCTTCAAGTCCTCCCAATTATCTCCTTTCTCCAGGCCCGCACATATGGAGGAGAGATTATTGTGATAGGCAGGTGGGAACTCAGGGAACCTGGGTTCTACTCTGACTGGCTGTATGAACTTTCTTCCCCTCTCCATGCTCCAGTTCCCCATCTGTGAAATCAGGTGGCGGCAATTTCCTTGAAAGAACAGCCTCTTGATCATGAATGGTGTTTCTTCTGATTTTTGTTTTTCTCTCCAGGAAGCATTTCTGTTAGCCAGTCCAGAAAACAACATAGAAGAGAGTGAGAGCTTATTGCAGTGGTCAAGAATATTGGCCAGGGCCTCATCTTGATCTCCTAAAATAAGTGATGTGAACTTTACTTGATCTGGATCATCCTAGCACAACAACCAAACAATCTCTTTAACTGTGTGGAAGATAAGAATGTTTGTGAAAAGCTTCTATAGAAAGGTTTCTGTATTCACAGGACAGCAGTGTGGTAGAGGAAAAAGATTCCAGATTTGGGAATAGCCAAACCAGGTCCTGATCTTGCAGTTCTGCCACTTACTATCTATAGTACCTATGCTGAATTATTTATGGTCTATCCATCTCAATTTTCTCTTCAGGAGAGTAAGGCTAGTGACACATACTTGACAGGGTGCTTGGGGAGATTCCAGGGGACAGGCACATAAGGAGTCCAGCCTGGGGTTTGCCCCAGAGGAGTCACTGTGAGTTCTCAAATCTGCTTCCTCTTACTAGGAGTTCCCAGCCCTCCTGGGAGAGCAGGGGAAGGAGCAAAGTTTCTCGTTGCAGTCTGGCCTACAGCCCAGCAGGCCTGGCCCCGCCTCCATAATTCCTCCTTCTAGGGAAGGACTGGGGAGGAGGGGGTGGTGATATGGTGGAGGCACCGCCCTGGCCAGGGGCCTGCCCCCGACAGGTCCGGACCATGGAGCCCCCCATGGAGACCCCCGGGAGGAGTAGCAGGTAGGAACCTGGGTCTCCCCACTCTGCAGCCTGCCACCCTCCTTTCCTGCCCAGGCTTGGACCGGTCCCTGGGCTGCTGATTCAGCAGCCTGCTGGCTTCCTGGTTCTAGGCTCCCCTCTAGGACATTTGGAGGCCTTTGGCTTCGGGGAGGGAGGCAGCTAGAATGACTGAGCCTATGGGCATCTGGGAGCTCAGCACTGTAGGACTCCAGAGTCCTGATGAATGCAGTTGGTAGCCTGTGAGTGGTGTGATCCTGTGAGGGGTGTGATCAGTGGCTGCCCTGGCATGCTAGCTTGGTCTGGCACTGCAGGGCTCCATGTAGCTGCTGAGATTCTCTGATACCAACATTTCAGCAGCTTAAGGGTCTCTGAGTCTCTGGTATAATGAGATAACAAGTCAAGGACTTGGGCTGGTGACTGGCACATACATGGCACTTGAGAAACAGTCTTCTGATGATGTTGATTATTACAGAGTCTCTGATAAGAAGTCTCAGATTCCAAGATTCTCTGTAATATTCTAAGATTTGGGCGTTCTCAAATTCGCAGCAAGTGAGATACTGGGCAACTGACCTGGCCTGCAGCCACACCTCCGGGCCTTCACTTGGGCTCCTGAATGGCCAGCCCTGACTATGACCTGTCCTCAGAGGCCGGTGAGGAACAGGAACAGGGGCTGGCCAACTTGGAAGGGCCAGCTCCACTCCTAGTGTCTGCCCTGTGCTGGGCAGGGCAGGGACCAGGGCCTCAGCCTCATTACCCTGCTGTCCTTCCTCCCCTTTCCCATTCTTTGGACTTTAATTCGTGGGGGAGCCGGAGGCAGTGGGGCATTTGGACCCTGTACTACGGGTCGGGGCACAGCATCTGGGAGGGGCTGGGGTGGAGCGTGGGCCCTGCTCTGGGCTGCGGGCAGTGCACTGGCCCTTGGAAGCAACAACTCCTGCTCTGAACCACTCAGTTCCCTGGCTTGCTGGGCCCCACCCACCCACTCAGCCCCAGTCCCATCCTGTCACCAAGACCACAAGACCTTCTCAGCTCTCCCCGACCCTTTCCTCTCCTCTCCTTTGCTCTGGCGCTCTCTGCCTCTCCCTGTCTTCTCTCTGTGTCTTTTGTCTGCTCTTTCTCAGTCTTCCTCCTTCTCTGTCTTTCTCCTTTCCTTGTCTCTCCCTTTCCTTGTCTCTTTTGGTTTCTCTCTTTCTCCCTCTACTACTATAGTGTTTCCTCCACCTGCCTGGCCTGGGTTTTTCCCCCCTCTTTGGACCCAGAGCCTCCTACTCTTTCCCTCCCTCCCTCCCTCCCTCTCTCCCTCTCTCCCTGTCTCCCTTCCTTCCTTCCTTCCTAGGCCCCCAGACATTTTTTCTCTTTCTCTCTCCCCCCTCCCCCTTCCCTCCCCGTGTGGCGTCTGGTGTGAGGAGGGCTCCCTTTCCCCTTTCCTGCTCCCTGTGTCTCCGTGGCCGAGGTCCCCACGGAGTCACCTGGAACACAGGAGGCCCAGCCTGGCTCTTCCGTCTCTGCTGCCCCCTGTTGTCATTGTGTTGTTTGTGGTTCGAGTGCCGTCCTCTCTTTCTTGACTTTGTGGTTTTTTTCTTTTTTTCTTCCTTCCTTCCTTCCTTCCTTCCTTCCTTCCTTCCTTCCTTCCTTCCTTCCTTCCTTCCTTCCTTCCCTCCTTCCTTCCTACTTTCCTTCCTTCCTTCCACCCTCCCTCTCTCCCTTCCTTCCTCCTTCGCTCCCTCCCACCCTCCCTGGCCTCCCCACCACTGCTCCTCCTCTTCCACTCCCTATCCTCCACCACCCATTCTTTCCCATCTTCCCTCCCCCTTCACTCACTCTCACTTCCGTGTCCTCATTCCCCATCCTGCCTCTCCCCTCCTTCCTTGTCTCTCTCTCTCTGTCTCTCTTCCTCTCTCTGTCTCTCGCTGTCTCTCAGGTCCACAGCGTCTCATATTCTACACCAGTATTGCTGTCCTACTCAGGTCCTTGACTCCATGAAGCTTACCCCCTCAGGCAGGCTGGCAGAGAGCAGGTAAGAGCTAGACTCACCCCTTCACCCATCCTTCACCCTTCCAGACAAATACGCAATATCATTGCCAGACCCCTCTCCCACCTCCCTCTAGCCCCTGGAGTGATTGTGGAATGGGTGTCTGAGTGTGTGAGGAGAGTGACTGGGGGACTAAGTCAGGAGACCAAAGAGGACAATCAGAATCTGTGGTTTGTCCTTCCTTAAAAATCCTTCCCTAGAAACCTGCCCACAAAAGTGGGAGTGGTTGGCCCTAGACTCTGTAACATCTGAGCCGTTTTGAAGGATGAGTAAGAGTGTGACAGTTGGATAGGATGGGGAAGGGTGTTTAGACAGAGGGAAAAATCTGTCCATACCTTTGGAGGACAATATTGTTTCCAAGTTAATTGGAAAACACATTTTTACATTTTCTAATTATAATGCAATAAAATGAGACATTAATAGCAATGGCAAAAAGGCTACTATAAATCAAAACCTATAAGATAGGACCATGGGGGTTCCCAGAGGAAAAACTGTAGTCTTAAATACTTTTATTAGAGAACAAGACAGTTTAAGTCAAATGAACTAATTATCCTACTAAAGATCTAGAAAAAGAACAACCAAAAGGAAGCAGAATAAAATAATTAATAAAGATGAAACTAGAAATTAATGAAATAGAAAAAAAAAGCTTTGATAAACCAAGAGGTGATTTTTGAAAAGACCAGTAAACTGTACAGACCATCCTCTGGTGGATATGACTGAGACTAAAGCAAGAAAACATAAATAAAACAAGGTATGACAAAGGGGATACAACCACAGATTCTGAGGAGACAAGAAAAATCATAAGGAAATGCTTTATGTAATTTTATACCAATAAATGTGAAAACCTAGATGAAATGGATGGTTTTCTAGAAAAATATAAATTACCAAAATGCCTTAAGGAGTGGCAGAAAACCTGAATAGAACAGTATAAAAGACATTAAAAAGATGATCAAATTTTTCTTCTCAGAAACGGTCCCAGGTCCAGTTGGTATTATGAAAGTGCTGTATGATGGAAGTTCTACTGAATCTTGAGAGAGCAGACAGTATGAAAAGAAGGACAGCTTCACAGTTCATTCCAGAAGGCTAGCAAAACTAGACAGGTTTAGAAAGAAAAAAAAGTAAAACTATAGCCTAATCTCACAAATTTATAGAGTAACAAATATTTTCAATAAGATTATCAAACTGAATCCATCAGTCTATTAAAAGAAGACTATCATGACAAATGAAGATCTGTTCCAGGAATGCAGGGATTAGTCAACATTAGAGAAACTTATTGTAATTGATTAAATTAGTAGATTAAAGAAAAGAGCTCACATAACTCCATAAATGCTGAAAAAACAATCTGATAAAATTAGTCACCCATTCTTGAGTTAAAAACTCTTACTAAATGTCTTGGTTACCTCTTGCTATATTGGGGTAATTTAGTACACAGCAATGGAAAACAAGTACAGTAAGCTAGGAATCAATAAAAACAACTTGGTAAAGAATTTTTATCAGAAACCAAAGACAATCATCAAATGTACTAGTGAAGAGCTGGATAAATATTAAATTCAGGAGCAAAACACAGATGACTACTATCACTGTCATTAACCAACATTTTTTTCTGAAGTCTTACCAATGGGGTTAAAAAAAGAAGTAAGTGATATAAGTATTAGAAAGAGTCAGAATTGGCATTATTTGAAGATGACATGGTTGTCTACTTAGAGAATCAGAAAGAATAAAAGGAAAAATTATTACAACTAATAAGAAAATTCAGTGAGATGGGTAGATACAAATTAACTATATACACCCAAACCACTAGCTTCTCTGAATACCAGCAATAATGAATTAGAAGACATAATAGAAAAGGTTCCATTCACAATAGCAGAAAAAAATGATAAAATTCTTAGGAATTAGTATTTATAAGAAATGCAAAATACTTCTCTGTAGAAAACTAACGTTTCATGAAAGGCTGTTAGGAGACTTGAATAAATCAAGAGTCATATCCTATTCCTGGATGGGAAGACTCAATATGGTAAAAATGACATTTTTTCCCAATTTGGTCAAAAGATTCAATTCATTTCTCATTAAAATTTCAGTGGTATTTTCTTTGGGAATTGGGCAGTTGGATTTTAAAGTTCATTTGGAAGAGTAACTATCCATGAATTACTAAGAAAAACTTGAAAAAAGAACAATGAGGGGGGCCTTGCCCTATTAGGTACAAAAACTTACCATAAAGCTTCATAAATTGCAAATATTGTATCATTACAGACAGAGGATTACATAAATGGAACAGAATAGAGAGTTTAGAAACAAACCCGTGTATTTATATGGAAATTTTAATTTGTGATAAAGAACACAGTTGATTCAAATCAGTGGGGAGTTAGTAAATGGGTTGGGACTGTTGGCTACCATTTGGGGAAAACACTAAGTTAAAACCTCATACAAAAACAAATACAAAAAATTAAACTGTGAAAGTACCAGAAGAAAAAATCCAGAATATTTTTATAATATTAGGGTGGAGAGGCCTTTCTGAGTGTGACTTAAAAACATAGAAGCCATAAAGTAAAGAGCAATAATTTTGAATACATTAAAACTGAAAACTTCTGTGTAGAGAGCCAAGCTATACACAAAGTTAAAACATAAACAACAGGCTAGGAGATACATGGATATCAGGCAAAGGTGAATATCTCTGTATCTGTATCGTCCCCTGGAAATCAAGAATAAGAATGCACACAACCCATTTAAAATGGAGAAATGACATGATTTCACAGTTCAGAGAAGAAAAAGACATTCACTAGCTGATGAGCTAGAAAGGATGTTCAAGCTTACTAATAGCTAAAGAAATGTAACCAAAACAACAATGAAGTACCAACTTTAAAGTACAAAACTGAAAAGAATGAAAGGGTTGGGAGGAAAGAGAACCTCTCATATGCCTTGACTGGAGTGCAAATTGGTACCATTTTTTATAGGGCTGATTTGTTAGTTGCCACCAGAATCTTATATATGCATATACTTCCAATCTGAGAACGGTGTCTTGGAGCTAGATTTATCTAAGGTTTTACTACTTAAATGGACCCCAATTTGGTCAACTAGAGGCCTTTTCTAAAACACCCAAATCCCAGCTACAAACAAAAGCCATACAGTGCAACTCTTTATAACTTGCCCTCAGAGGATAGAGTTCTCAACCAGCTCTTAATGAGAAGGTTGCATGATGTATGCTTATCAAAATAAAAACAGGACTACAGGAGTAGGAATAATCTTTATTTTTAGCTGGCCGATAAAAATGTTAAAGCAACGTAAATAACTTTTATCTACATTTTGAACAAAATGTGCATTCCTTTGGCCCAGTAGTTCAACTTTGAGGAACATACCCTCAAAACTATTTCCAGACATACGTAAAGATGTTCACTGCAGCACTGTTTGTAACAGTGAAAAATTAAAACAACCTACATGCACATCAGTAGAGAACAGCCCTTCCTTCATGATCTACCCATACTATGGATTACTCTGTAGCATATCAGAAGAAAAAGATAACTGGCAGAGAAAGGTCTCCAAGACTTGCTGTTATATGAAAAAAGCAGGTTGCAGAACAGGGCTTATAGTAAGATCCCATTCTTGTAAGGTAAAGAAAACCCCCATAACAACAATGAAAATATGTTATACACACTCTGTCATAATTTCAAAATTACTGGCCTTTTTCTTTGGTCCCATTTCCTTGCTTTTACTAACTCATTTCCCTCCTCCTGTATACTGTTTCCCTGTATCCAGCTGTTCATATATTGCTTTTCCTTTTAATAACTAGCATAAACACCACCTCATTCATTTAGCAAGCATTTACCCTTCCTGCTCTCGGTTAGACCCTGTGCTGAGCCTTGGTGGGATATGAGAATGAACTGTATCTGGTCCTATCACCAGGGAGCTCAACCCTTGAAGGGAGAGAGACACATAGACAATGACAGCATAGTGTGGTTTAGATGGGACAGAAGATGGCTCAGAGGAAGGATACGTAACACCATCTGTTTCCTATATGTGTAATGACTTCCCTTCATCCCCCAACCTCAGGAGAAGTGGTCTTGCCCACTTTTTGGCTCTCCTGAGCAGGATGACCTAATCGGGGAAAAATAAATGAGTCAGTACCTTTTATTCAAGTCCAAGTTTAGCCACTTACCAACTCTATGACTTGGGCAAGCCATTTAACCTCTGAGCCTGTGTTTCCTCATCTGTGTAATGAAGAGAATGCCTACTTACCCCACAGGGCTGAGTTTAGGATTGGAGATGGTACATGTGAAACTACTGGGTGAATATCAACTCTTGAAGGGCAAGGACTACCCGTGTCTTGTTTTTCTCAGAGCCAAGTGTGTATCATTGGTATGGATTGGATCTAAAAGCTGTGTGTGTCTGGGGATGGTTCTTGAGCAAAGGATAGGCCTGACCATAGTGGAGCTTGGGGGTGAAGAGGCTGAGAGTGGTACATGGGATGGAGGGGATTGTACCATAAGAAGAGCTAGGTTCCTGGGCTTGGCATGAAGGTGACACAGGAGGGAAAATCTTAGTATGTGGTCCTGGGAAATGAAGCCCAGGCAGGGTGTTCTAGCCCTGGTTCTTGGTCCTGTTCTTCTAACTGATGCCAATCTTACAGCCCAAGGCAGGGAAGCATGGTGGGCCAATACTTGTGTTGGTGCCAACACACCTCAGTTTCAGTCCCAACTCTGTCACTTATTAGCTGGGTGGCCTCAAACAGCTCAATTTACAACTCTGAGCCTATTTCCTTATCTGTTAAAAAGAACACAGTACCCCCAACATCATGGGGTTTATTTATTAAGGAGTAGAAGAGATCATAAATAGAATATATCTTGCTGAGTGCCTGGCACATAATGGGTACTCAAAAAAGGGTAGCTGGTATTAGTATCCATTGCAGTAGATACTTATGGAGTTATGCTATGGCCAGGACCTATACCTATGCTTAGGTAATGGTTCTTGCTTTCCACAAGTTTCCAGTCAAC